CCGAGGGAATGCCATTCCAATGAATCAGCTGCTGCAGCCGAGAGCCAAGAGCATCGTCTCTAGCTCAGTATGTAGACATATTTTGCACAAGGTCATTGAGGGAGACTCACCACAAATTCTACAGGAATCGTCCATCTCACTTATCACTGTATGTGCCATGTTTCACAATGACAAGATACTATGAGTATGACGAGAACTGACGAGGAAGAAACCAAGACGGAGGTGCATGGGTTATGTGGGGGCATGTGGGGGTCTATTAGTGTAAGACCAGATGGGTAAATCAATTATCATCAGTAATGCACCTAGCTGATACAACTTTCTCTGCCTTGCACCGTCTTCAGGCCTGAAGACCTCATTCATGCTAAAAAAAACAAAACAAAACAAAACAAAAAAAAAACCTCTGCCAAAAGTTAATAATCAAGGTACATCTAATTATCTATAAGGGTCACAAGGTCACCGTGTGTGATGGCTGACTAAACCATGGTAGTATGTTTGTTTTTGTCTTGTTCTAAGCAGGATTACAGCATCTCTCTCGCTGTCCCAGCAAGAGTCCTGGGGTGTGTGTGTGTGTGTGGGCCTCAGTCCTGGCCTTCACCATGTGAGGGCCTAAACCACCAGCAGCAGTGGCATTAGCTAGGTAATGGTCTTATGCTTTTTTTGTTCATGTGTGTAGATTTAAGTTGTAGGTAGATGTTAGGTATTTTATTTGACATATACACTCAATGAAGCATGCACATTTGGTTAATTTAGCATGTTTAATGTGTGTAAATTTTCTTTTTGAGTTACCATGTTCCTGGTCCATGGATGGATTGGACTGAAGCAGCAGCCCAATATGGGGGGGGTGTGTGTGTGTGTGTGTGTGTGTGTGTGTGTGTGTGTGTGTGTGTGTGTGTGTGTGTGTGTGTGTGTGTCATTTGTTAGGTCAGTTGGTTTTTGTTTGAGGCTCTGTGCAGTTCAGTTTGCTGTATTTTGAGTTTCCCTATCTTTTGTTAACCTTTTTTAGGGCTCAGTTTATTTGACATTGATGCTATTTGTATTTTTTCCTTATTTTTGGGAGAATAAAAAGCCCCCTTTTTTTTTTTTACTTTAAAAGCTGTGTCCTCTGCCTAACTGTTTGGTCCCGGGCACAGTAATACCACTACACCTTGTCACAAGAGCTCATTTTCATGTTAGCAATGTTTGAGATGGTCCTTAACTTCAGCTCATCAGTTTGGAACAAGAGATAAAATTAATCTTGGTGGAACACTGGTCAGGATCTCTCCACAACCGCACAGCAAATCTAGTGAAGATGACAGAGGATTCATCTTAATAGTTTGAATTTTGAATAAGATAGCCTATCAACAGTACTGTCTCTTTTTGACTACTAGCAGTTCCTGTTCATGGTGCACAGGCAACGACAAGCTGTTGTTCATCTGTCTGCTGCTTTCAGTGGGGGTCGTCACAGCAAATCACAGCAATCTGCATACAGTATGTGATTTGGCACTGGTTTTTTATTCCTTGCACAACCCTCCCATTATATTCAGGCTTAGGACAGGCATGAAGTGTGCACAGGCTTGTGCATCCTTAGTGGCTGGGTGTAGCAACAGCATCAGGTATTCTCAGGTGGTCCCCTGTCCGAGCACTGACCAGGCTTGACCCTGCCTAACCTATGAGATCAGGCACAACCACAGCAGCTTGGCTATAAAAAGCTAGAATACTTACTGAAAAAGTGGATACTGGAGGAAATATCTGAATCAGATTATTATGAGCAAAGACAGGAGTTACTATAACTAAAGAGTGTCTCCTTTCTGAACAAGTTTATGGAAATGTGTCTTTACAAACTGCATCCAAGGACATAATAAACTATTCTTAATAAGTGAAATGTGTCTCTCCGCTTTTCTCCTCTGTCTCATCTTCTTCCTTCATCTCCCCTTGTCCCACTCCTGCCCTCCAGGCAGGTGCAGAGAGCAAAGCTACACTTCATCTTCAACACTGACAACATGCCAGGCTCAAATTAGGTGCCAATTACATCTACTTGAGTAACTTGTTTGCTTGTAAACTTCAACATCAGGCAGACATTGGACTGAGACCCCCAGAAGTAATTTCATATCACACAATGGCCCACACCCCTCAAGTAAAACAATGTTGAAATGCTCAACATTTGAGCTCCCTCTTTAATTACACTCACCCTTGCCTCTCACAGTGTTTGGCTCTCTCATCATAAGTATGTGTGTTGGTCATGTACTGATGTGACGTACTGATGTGCTGGTCATGTTGTTTTATTCAGCTCTAAACAAAACCCATTTGGTGTAATTTAAAAGGAGATTCAGGACAGAAGGCTGTTAACAATAAACCTTTACTAATAATAAGGGTTGTATCCCTGAAAAGTGCTGTCTCATTTAGAATTAGCCTGGCAGTGTGTCAAAATGCTTAGGGCAGACTAAACTGCATATCTCAACTATAATGATTTTGCATGACATCTCTGTGTGCTGAAAACATAAAAAGCAAGCACAAAGGAAAAGGTGAGAAAGGAGAGAGTAACAGCTTAGACCTCGTGTTAAACATGACCTTTCCTTACCAGCCAGTGTTGAACTCGACGTGGGCATCAAAGAAGCCGACAACAGGAGCCGTGGCCGCATTCCAGCCATGTATTCTGGCTCGGATCAGACCCTCCCGCTTGCTGTTCCTCACAATCTTTACCAGGCCTGGGTAGCGTTTGTTCACATACTGGTCCAAATTGAATTTCAGCTCCACTAAAAGAGGGAGAGAATATTAGAGAGAATCACCTTTTAATTGACTTACAAACGGCTGTGTGAGAACATTAACCAGATAGCTACTGCAATGAAATAAGTGTTCGTTTTGATGTGCTTTATTTTTAGACTTTTAGTCAGAAAGCTGCACAAAAGTGTAATAAATTACTCATTTAAATAGTAATTACAATACTTTACTAATTAACAGTGAAAGCAACTAGTTACTATAGATTACTTTTTCTTCTGCACAGCCCTGTCAGAGGTGCCTTTAAACAGCTCCAAGGCTGCATCACATATTTTGCATTTAGCACTTCTAGAAATGGAAAACATCCATCCATCCATTATCCACTGGGAGGGGGGTACACCCTCATCTAGCACAGGGCTGACATGTAGACATATAACCACACACACCCACACTCTCTCCTAGGGGCCAATCAAACTAAGCTGCATGTCTTTGGACTGTGGGAGGAAGCCGGAGTACCCAGAGAGAACCCATGCAGGCACAAGGAGAACATGCAAACTCCACACAGAATGGCCCCAGGGTTAGTCTGGGCTCAAACCCAGAAAATTCTCTTGCTGTGAGGCAACAGCTCCAACCACCTTATGTATGAAAACAACACGTTCTATTTGACATGCATCCAGCTAATGGTTTGGATGCATTTACTAACCATTAACAGCGTATCAAAAGCTAACTGCACACAGTACTACCACATGGTGAAGCATCAGAGTTCACCTGAAAAAATCCCAGTGATTCTTGAATGTAGGCTTACCAGTGGGTAACATTAACAATTCAGTAAGTATACATGACATGTAGGATAATTTGAGATACTGTGAGTCGCATTTTCATGGAGATTATCTGAAATTTGGGAGTGGGACCTGGCCTGAACTACACCTCTTCTATTTTCACCCAATTAAACCCACCGAAACTGTTATACTTCCACCGCTTAGTGAGGGCATGTTACCAATAGTGAATCCTGTTTGGTAGAACCTAGTCAAGGCTTCACACCTCCATTCCCTGCATCTGGTTTTGAACCTGGAACTGCAGAATTCTGGGAATTAACAAAGTGGCATCCCCCAAGGCTGAGAAATGAAGCCAGTGCAGAAGTGCCAAAACCTGCAGTTCCTCGAATGGACACTTGAGGATGGCTCCAATAGGAAGTCAACCCTCAGACTCCCATGTTAAAATGCGCAACTTTACATTGGAAATAAACATGTTTACAGCCTTGTACAAAAAACTGTTTAGTTTTCTATAGCCAATTTCCTGTTCTATGATAACTGTACAGCCATATGTGGCTGGCCACTATCTGTCTAGTGAGCTCTACTCATGCGCCACCTCTTGGCTCATTTAGCAGGCAGAGTGAAGCGTACCAATATGCCAATGGCCAAATTTGAGCTTAAAAAAAAAAAACAAACAAAAAAGCTCTTCAGAAATGACTGAATTCAATGTGGATTGGTACATCTTTTAAATACAGTCCCTGAAATTAAGCCTAATTTAACTTTGCCACCATTTGTACAGCATCTACAATAAAATTGTCAGCTCATGTTCATCTCACATCAATGCCCCAATCTCACTGCATGTATCTTCTGGGATTTAACACACTGGGAGTCAACGTTTGCCTCAAAACCTGGTGGAAAATCAGTTTTTTTTTAACACAGTTGCTGTGTGTTCTATTATAAAACATGACTTTGTCCAGGAAAGATCAATTGCTTTGTAGATAAAAGTTTTGATCTTTGGCAGCTCGGACCCGTTTAAACATTCATAAACTGTCTTAAATCAAAATATAAACCAAGAAAGATCAGTTATGAATAATTTATACGAGACACTGTTCAAGGTTACGATACATGTTGCTGTATGGTGTCACCATCTAATGCAGTCCGTTGCCAACATCTTTGCTCCGGCTAGATTTTAACAGCTCTCCTCTGCTGTCACAGATGAGGCTGGCTCTCATCACTGGAAACAAAGTTTGCCAGGTAAAAAGCCTTTTGCACAAATTGCTGTCTGTGTGTCATTGAAGGATGGATGGCTGTTTGAGCTTCTCCTCTGGGCTACTGCCGAGCGTTCCACTTTGTGAGGGAGAGATTAATAAGGATGTTTGTGGCACACTGGATCTGAACAGCATCCACCCCTAGCTTCTGACTTTGAACATAAATCAGCCAGTGAAAGTTTAAAAAAAGGAAGTCTAATCCCCTGTGTGACTGAGGAGAAAGTGTGTGGAAAGATTGTCAGGAGCCTTTTTGTAACTGAAGGTCTTGACATAAAGCGGCGACTGCTGCAGAGTGGGTGAATTTGCAAGCGATGACCTTTGATATAAACAGGCATTTGACACCAAATGCAGGAATTTGTAAATGAATATTTTTGGTTATACCTTTAGTCAAGTTTAATTAACTAAGGCATCTAAGTACATCTTCTACTTTAATCTTATAAGTGTTGATTTTAGAGCATACATCATCTCACAGAAGGAGGCGATACAGAATCATCATGTTGTGACCTTTTGCACCCACAAGAAGTTACAAATCAAAAGAAAAACAATACAACACAAAGTACAATACAGTACAATAAAACACAAAGTTTGAAATTAAAAAATGGCTCCTATCCAGGGAAAGCTGGACTCACAGTTTGGCCTTGGCTCTTTCATGTCTTCATTATCCTTTGATATAAAGCATCTCAGAGTGGTGGGTCCAAATGAGCATGATGTTAGCATTTAGTACGCAAAACATGAATAATGTGGCACATCTTTACTCAACTCCCATTTGGATCAGTCTGCACCGTCTGTCTTTGATGGACCAAAGACTTTTGCAGTTTGTACTGTTGAAGGTTTCTAACCTGTGCAATGGGACTCCATCATCATCAGCCTACCCTGCAGCTACAATATGATAAAAGCTATTAGAGTGTTATAATTACTGGGCTTTGCTGGGAAGGCGAAAAGTTATGAGCCTCCCTTTGATCCCAGCAAATAAAACATTGGATTGCATCCATGGGAGTAGAGTTATGGAGCAGGGAATACATTTTAAAGGGCTGGCAGCACAACATAGAGGATAAATAACCATCCATCATACTATGAATTTTAAACGAGCAAGGAGCAGTTTGAATTCTTCACTGAAGGTTATGGAAGGTGCCGTGTTATGGACAGATATCAAACATGCTTTTAATTACTTAAACTGTGGTAAAACTTTTGAATGTGCTGCAAAGACTGAAATGTCTTTTCACACTTTACCTCCTGTTGTATGTACTCACTAACAAAAAAACAAAACAAAACAAAACAAAAAAAAAGTTCACCCACAGGATTTTCAAGAAAATCTACAAATCACTCTTTTTTGCATTTTATTGTGTCACTGCAATGATCACCTTCAGAGAATAAAGATTTCTGCTATAAAAACAGGCCACCTCCTGTAAGAGTGGATTTATAGACTCCTTTCAGACACTTATACAGGTCTGAAGATGATCGCTTTGATTAATCACAAGCAGACAAGTGAGGTAACTGGGTAAACCGACTCAACACAAGTACTGTGAAGTTCATTAAATATCAAAACAAAAGTGTAGCCAAAAGTAAAATGATAGTAAAATGATGACATCCAGATGCTGTGCGACAGTATAAGCTCTTCACTGTAATGTCTGGCAGTAAACCTGTGCATTGCAGAAGTAATCAACGCAGTCTGAAGCTTATTCATGTACTGTACATTTACTAGAAACAGCACGATGGTGAACCGGTTCACATTTTCTTGACCCACTGTCACCCTTAACTTTATTAAGTCCATTCTGTTTAAAATGCTTCTCTGGAAACACAAGTTTGATCTCTGAATTACTGGCCAATTATGAAAATAACCATTAAAACATACAGTACTGTACACTGTCTGGGCAGATTTTAATTATTTTTCTCTGCTCTGTCTTTTCATGGCCACTCTTCATTGCTTTCAACATATTAATTCCAATATTAGGTGAGTATTATCTGCTCAGTACATGCAAACATGCCATACTCTATGTTTTATGACTGCAACTGGTGGAAGAATTCTGCATGTGACATTTTCCTGTTTGATATGTGATGTGTCAACTTGAAGGCCTCGGCTCAGCTTTTTTTTTTTTTTTTTTTTTGCAACTGAAGAGTCAGTCTTTCATTTAAAGAGGATTCTGTTGGAACAAAGTCAAAGAACTTCAACAAAACTGAGCCAAATTGTACAGCAAACAAACTGTCTTCTTTAAATAATTATTTTCTAAGCATCACAGTGTGTCAGACAAATTTCCTAAACTTAGTTAATGAGCAAATCCTGTATTCAAAAGCGTTAATATATGTAATATTTAAAGTAATTCAGCTCCACTTGAAATTACTACAAGCTGTACTCTGCTGGTCCTCAGTTTATATCCCGTTTTCATTTTCTGAAACATTAAGTTATCAGTTTGGTGATAGTATTTGCTGGAATTGAATCACATAGGGCTCATTAAGCCTTTTCTTACTGCTAACGTGGTGAACAACAGTAAGATGGAGTTGTTAGACAACTATAGCTCATCAATGAGAATGTGAATTTAGTGCCAACTGTTGGAACCTGTGCTATGAATAAACCTCTCAGCCATTAATGTCAGCTGCTGTTGAGGAAAGGAAATGGGTCACAGCAACAAGACGAGACAAACATGCTTCCTGTGCATGATGCATTATGCCAGGAGTGAGTGCCTTCCCTCATTTTACTAAGCCTTGTTTACATGAGAGAGGACAGACGGAGCCATTCAGAAATGGTCGAGCAGTTCATTGACTTCAGAACATCTTGCAAGAAACAGCTCACCCATCTGTACAAATTATCACCTGTGATGCTTCTCAGCACAGGTTACTAAGAGAAGCTGTAACATGACTTAATGTTTGTTTAGGACACAGTTTGTACATCAGTTTCAATTTGTCATATTTTCTGGATGGAGAAAATTCTGATGGGTTTTCATGCCTGGTGTAATATTGTGGAAAATTGGGTGAATGCTCATGGTTTAATCGGTGGAAAGGCAAACTTCAGATTTACAGTAAATACCAGCAAATTAGACAAGTCATTTGTTAATGAAGGTAGTTACAGTAGGTGGTTGTCAGAAATTACATAATTTAACTGCAAGATTTCAGTTTATATAGAGCATTAAACCTGCATTCATTAGCCACTTGGCTGCAGTGTAACAAACTGTAAATATGTTTTAAATTGCCTTAAGTTGATTTGGTGTAACGTCCTTATTTACACATCTGGACGACACTGAGTGACATTAATATTCATTTTGTTGGGTTTCAACAAACCTGGCAAATTTAAATGCTCATTGTCCTTTTATGCCTCCATTTTGATCTCCACCAGAGGGTGAGGGATTGTCTGGCTTTAACTGATTTTAAATATATTATTGTAGGAGCTGGATCTTTTAAATGAAACCAGTCACACTTGCAGTGGAACACAGTTTTTAGTACCCCTTCAGCAGGTTTAAATTTCTGTTTGGCGGTCGTGCTGACTGATGGCCAGGTTCTCCGTAAGCTACTAGACCAGTTAAAGTGGATATCCTGCCACCACTAGCAGTACTGACACAATCATGACCTTTTGTTAATGTAAAAACATGGACTACCCAGTAACAGTTTAAGACATTTTGTGTACCATCAATGTCTTACGCCCTAGCAACATTTTATTGAATAGAGAATAAATAAAATACTGATAGAAAAAAAAATTATTGAATACTGCAACATTTATAGTGAAGATAGTTTTTGAAGGCCAATCCTATCTTGGGACAACCTTACTTAAGAGTCCAAATGAACAGGACAGACTGACATAATGATGTAATGAGAGGAGGGGGTAACCTTCCATATTTGTCTTTCACTGGTTTTTAACAGCTCCCCTTTTAAACGGTAGGCAGTTTGAACCTCAGTGGGGAACAAAGATGTGCCAGTGGTGACTTCTGCTCAGCTTTCTTTCAGTATGTTATTTATGCAACCTTTTCCTCTGCCGGCCTGAGGGAGGCAGGCCTGCTGTGTCAAGTGAAGGAGGGCAAAGTGTCGTCTGGAATCTACTTCACTGTCCCTACATCTCCCAAACAGGAAAGATTTTGGGATACAGCGTCAAGCACCATCAGCCGCTGTGGGCGTCATGGTGCGGAGACAACTGAAGCATTTACCCACATCGCCATGGAGACAGTAGTGTGCAGCAGATTAGGAAAGGACATGACAAATCCCTTCCCTCCTCTTTCCCCTTTTTTAAGCTATTTTAAAACCTGGTGTTTAAGATTCCACCCCCAGGGGATCTCTACCCCTTCAGCTGTTACTCACAAAACCAAACACACTCAGGCGTGTGCGTGCACACACACACCAAAACATGCACAGAAACAATAGTGCAAGAACACTACTCTGGCAGGAGTATAAACATTACACTAAATCCTTAGTGTAGCATTTTTGTATGATGCATGAGTTCACATTCCACCGGGGAAGACAAAACATGATGAACAGGGTGACTCAAATGAATAAGCAAATCTACTGCCTTAGGCAGTGATAAAGTGCAACTTAGACAGGTTTCTGCTTTAAAAGCTGATAGAGGGTGATAGTAAAAAGGTTCAGTCCTCCACAGTGAGAGGGAAGATCGCGGTAAATACCGTCAATTAGCCCCATTTTATGTTTACCTTTTTTTAAATCTGTAAAAGGCCTTACCACTGTCACTGTTGTCATCCACCAGTATGATCTCTTTAAGCAGATGTGCTGGTGTGTGGTTGACCACACTGTGGACCGACCGCAGGATCACTGACAGTGCCTCGTTCACAAAGATGAAGACCACAGAGATCTGAGGAAGGTCTGCTGGGTATGTCAACTGCTTACACCTGTTAAGATAAATGGAACATTCTTAGCCAAACCATGTGGCCCTTGTAGACCACATATAATTCAGTGACAAAAACACACTTATATGAGCAAATAGTCAACACAGCCAAATAGTGTACTGTACTGTATGCATTTTCTTGCCTCAAGTTAGATGATGAAAATTGATACCACTGCAGTAGCTTGAGTGTGTAAAATATAAATCTACAACCAGGAGGTTGTTAACTTTACTTAGAATAGCTCAAAACTGGGGGAATCAGCTGGGCTGGCTCTATCCAAAGGGAAGAGGATTGCTGAAAACCCATCAGCCAGCTATTTCTAGACTTTACAGTGCTCTAACCAGCTGCTGGCTTTAGCTTCATATTTACTATACATCAGAGTAATACCAATTTTCTCATCCAACTCCCAGCAAAAACTATTTTTTAAAACCCAACAGACACTCTGTTGCAAAATGCTATTGTATAACGATCCCTAATACTCTATGTGAGGCACAACAAATGTAAGAAATTGTGTGTTCTGCATTAGGAAGATTTAAAGCTGCCAACAGCTTTAAGGAATTATCCATTCATTAAAATATTTAAAAAAATATTCAGTGTCTTCATGACACAAACTTTATAGCAGACTGTGTGCAATAGAATGTGTAAAAATAAAATGTGTGTATATCAAAATATTAAGATATTCAGAATTTTCCTTGTACATCCTGAAGCTTCCTAAAAGATCCATCAAAGTTATTTATAGAAACACTTTAGGAAAGCCCTTTGGGCCCTTAAGAACTCACTCATGCTTCTCTTTTACATCCTCAGGGATTCCTGGAGCTACCGTACCTCAAGCAACCCTCAAACCATTGCAGCAACAACAGCAAAAACCTTTCTGACAACAAACATTTTTGACTTGTCATAGCAGGAAAATCACAGGTGTAACTAATAACATTAATGATGACTCCACTCCATTTAGGTGAGCACGTGCAATGGCAGAGTCCTAGAACCGGTGCACCTGCAGTAAAGAGGATGCACACGTAATTAATATGAGTAGTTACACCTGCTCGAAAAGTCAAAACTCTCTCACTGCAAAAAGTGAAACAGATGCTTATTTTTGTCTAACAATATATTTCTTCTTACCAGGCAGTTTTTATTTTAGACCATTTCACTTGTTTCAAGCTTAATTATCTTGATAAGATATTATGACTTGTTACTGAGATTTTAATACTGCTTCTGAGTAACTTAATACTTGAAATGATAATTAGAATTATAAAGCTGTTTGATCAACACTGACAAGTACAAACCTGCTTTGTATCTGATAAACATACTTGTCTTTAGTTAGGTGCACTAGTTTTAAGATATCTGGGAGGTGTTGAAACTAGACATTTTTACTTTATTTCCTGTTCTGTTGGCAGATCATTTTGCTTATCTTAAGCAGTATTTCACCCATTTCATTACATTTATTTGTTGCTGTTTTTGAGAGCTGAGTTTTCATGTATTGAGAACTCTAACACATAGTTTTCTTCCATAGTTTGGAGTTTAAAATGCTTTTTTCCCTTTCAAACATTCAGTGTTCAGTGTCACGTTCCCAGTATGTTCCCATGGTGTTCACAAGCTTCTATTTCTCTCCAAAATCAAAAGTGTGGATCCAGAATAGCTTTTTCCTCAGTGTACCAAAACCTAGCACATTTCTAGATTTCATTTGAAAGCCTAATTTCATTTGATGGTGATGCTAAAGCCCCAGACCTGGATGTTCTGTGCGGCACTTTGACTTCTGCTGTAGTATAGTTACAATACTGAACCTATATGTTGAGCATTTCTCCAGAGTTGGGAGAAGAATGTATTTTTACTCAGTTTAATGACCATAAAACCTCATGCACTACATTTGCTGTTTTAAAGAAGCTAAGCGTACTCATGATGTCCTCTTGTGTTTTTATTGAAGTCAATAGATGCCATTGCCATTTTCAATATTTAACCAAAACAGGAAGATAAGCCCAGTCTCTGTTGCCCAAAGTGAGGTGGTTTTTGTGTCCTAAAACATCTGGAAAAGTATATTAGCTGTATATGAATTTTACAGGCAGAGCTGTTTCATTTTGCATTACATCGGCACTAATAAAAAATATACATATAAAAACTGTGCTATGTGTGTTGTATGAGTGTATATAACCATCTTGTTTTGCTCTTCTTTATTCATTGTCTTTAGCATTCCACTTATGAGTTACAGGTTAAAGTTTCTGTAATGTGTTTGCACAAGTATAGCCTGTGCTACACTGGACTACTTCCATTTCTCATCTATAATTACAGCATATAGCCATCCATTACCAAGCATCTACAGCCATGTTAGCAGCACTGTGAGGCTGTAGGCCACCTTACTGCTTTGGGCTAAATGCTAAAGCATGCTTACAGTGCTAATGTTGGCAGGTATAATGTTTACCATTGTAGAAATGTGCTAGCATGCCAATATTTGCTACTTAGCACTAAAAACAAATTAGACCTGAGTCTGGTGATACTGCTTTGGCCGTATTTCATAAGTCAAGCCACTTGTGTGGCTACAAACAAGACTGACATACACAAGCTGAAAAGAGGCCTGATAGCCAAAAGCCAAAGTGGGTTCATCTTCAGTTGCTCCAGAACTAAAACCAGTATAGAAATAATGGAGTGTTGCTGGAAGTCAAACACATAGGCTACCTATACTGGCACGGACAATCAGAAACCTAGATAATAGCAGAACTCTATGAATATGGATTATTAGTCATTGTTAGTTATATCAGTAGTGGTACTTTGTTTCAGTTTCTGTCCAGTTTTTATCATTCCAAGTCATAACCCTGCTTTTCTCCTTCTGTGATCTGTAGCAGTGCAACAAGTTTGCCTTCAGGTAACTCTGCTCACTGTGCATGTAAAATATTAGCATTCTGTGAACGTCAAGTGATATTCACAGAATGATGGCTATGAATGCTGTTTGTACCCATGTAGCTGCAGTAAATGAGGACAGACTTAGTGAATGTCACAGAGCAGTGATAACATATGTAGTAAAGTCCCTGCAATTTTTCAGCTTAGCAGAAAGTCCATCATTTAGGTTTGAAAGTGCATTAACATAGTTTTTATTAGTGTCAGTGTAATACTAGTCCAGTAATTGCTCTTAATGATGTAATTAGTCACAATTAAATAACCTGTGTTGTTATTAACATTGCTTAGAAGGAGCTATATTCTAAATTGTAAGTTAAATCTTGTATTACACAGATTGAGTTTCAAGTTGTTTTGTTGCTGTGATGACCTTGAACTTTTTTTAAACTAACAAACTATTTGATTCAATAAGGGATTCAAAAGGATTTGGATTTAATACGCAGATTCAGAACTGATTCAGATTTGAAAAAAAAAATCCTACTGAATCTCATCCCCAGACACATGAGTGCTATAAATGTGTTCAGTGTCCTCCTTCTCCTACTCAGCCCCCTTACTTCCTCTCTCTCACCATCTGTCTTGGTCTCTCTGCTTCCTTCTCTTGCTCTCATGCACAGACGCCATGGTAACCTCTTTTGTATCTGTGATTGGAATCCTACTTCATGTGGCCACTGACACTGACCCATTTAATGAAACAAACTATACACTATGCCATGTAAATGAATATATAGTACATTCACTTGATCTGTGTGTTCGCACCCTCAGGAGCAGTCCTGTTACGCTCCACCATTGATAATCCTTGCCATTCGCACCCTCAGGAGCAGTCCTGTTACTCTCCAAAATTGATAATCCTTGCCTTCATCTCTGTCGAACTTCCCTGTCATTTCCAGTAAAGTGCAATATTTTCTCAGAGATGTACTACGGCTTTGAAATCAGAAATAAGTGGTGACTGGCCAGAATCACTTACGGTAGATGATTCCTGTGGCAACTGTGAACACACAAACACACACTACCAGCCAACATCTTGAGAATCTTTCCAGACTGTTGCAATTAGTCTCCAAACACAACAGCTGATAAATATATTTTACTTGCTTCTGCCTTTGTTTCCCCCTGTTTTCACATACCTTATTCAGCAGTTCTGAGACATTATGTGGGGTTAATGAGGTGGCTGTAAAAAGTGTTGTGGTTGAATTATTTACAAGAGATTTCAATTGTAATAAAACACTTACAACATTGTTCTGTATTACAGTTTCAAATTGACATAACTCAGCTATAGAGTAAACAAATCTATGAGTCCCATTTAGCTTCAGTAAATCAAATTAAGCTCTTGAAGCTATTATGCTAAACATCAAGGCGGAGTGGAGTTTTGTGGACTAAACTGCCATACTGCATTTGCCAGGTGAAATACTATTCACGCTAGGGCTAATTATGAGACTATATATTGATTTGTCAGAATGTATCAGTCTCGCATACTATCACAGATGGTTAGATGTGATAGAGGCGGCGGGTAAGGCTGAGATTTTCTCTGCTTTTGGCAAGTCTATTATTTAAAAGTGTACTGACTCATCATGCGGAATCATAAATTAGAGTTGTTACAGAAAAGAGCATTCTTAATTCCAGCTAATAAAACACAGCAAACGTCTCCTAAATGCCCAGTTGAAGTTGTAATCTTGCACAGAATCTGCCCACAGAAAGCAACGACCATATGTACAGTTTGATGCTAAACTGGATTATTTCTGCATATTGAAGCATATAAAATTAAAACCTTAACTTTACCTAAATGTAACACTGGTAATGACATTACTGGTTTTTATCCTTTATCACTATGTAGTCAGATTTTTAAATATAAAACTTGGTACCAAATTGTGGTGTGACGATGCCTTGAATATGTTTAGTTCAAAGACAGCGCATTAGCTGCTCTTCCACCCTTGCTGTGCACCATCTGAACTATACTGGCACTTGGCACCCTGGTACCCCGGTGAACTGGGATGTCAGCTTGAGTCAGCAGCATCCACTGGATCAGGCTGCAGGGGGATGGCTACACAGCAGATGGATCCCAGCGTGGTTCTAAAGTTACATCCTGCTCTTTCCACCCATCAAAACCCTCCTCATACTCTACAGCCAGT